TATATATATATATATATATATATATTATAAAGGGACGACGCAAGGCTGATATAAAGGAATGACAAAAAGTTATTATAGGAGCCTCCAGCCACCCCTAATATGTCTAACAATTTGAGTATTACTTCTTTAGGGCTAACTGTCAGAGGAGATTCAAACCCCTGATTTGAGGGTTCTTATACCATGGATGTCAACCTACAGACCGGGGTACACGGTGTACTTTTGACATTTTATTGACGTATAATAACGAAATCAGGAGTCATGTTTACATTTTTACTAGAATTTTTTATACCAATGAATTTTTTTTTCCACCTTAAATTAAATACTTAATAATAACTCAATATTATTGTCTAAATTTAAAAATGATATTTGATATGCCATTAAGAAATTTATACGCCCAAACAAGATTTTCGATCCAAACTTAAGATCTTCTAGGCTTTGATTTCAACAAAATTATAGTTAGGCGGAGCATCTCGACAATGTAAGCCCTGTGATGTTGAAAATGAAATAATATTAATACAAATAAACATAAATTGAACAATTAAAGTATGTCAAAGGCTTTACTGTATCAATTCAAATGTTAAATAATCTCTAAATTTGGTGTGTTTATAGTCAAATCAGGGGGCTCGATTGGAGGAATCCAAAGAGCCCGATATCATTTAATTTTGTCACGTAAATATTCAAAAAAATTTATAATCAAAAGAATCAATGCGAGCCACGCGATAGAATGATTTGAGATTCTGACTAAATTTAATGGAATGTCACTCTTAAAAACTATAAATAGACCCACATTCTTCACTTAAAATTGACGAACATTTTGACTTATAATAATTTTAAGAATTTTAAGAAGAGGAACATTTTGAACTTGAATACTAACTACCTTTTGACTTTGATTTCTTAGTCAATTTCTTTAAATTCAAATTCCGCCGGTGATATAGTCAAAATCTGTGTGTCATTTAGTTGAGGATAATTTTTATTTGATGTCATTTTTATAATTAAAAGCAAAACATATAATTGATAAATATTAAAATTTCAAATATCATATGTTTTCATATTTCTCAAGAAAATAATAACCGCATGATTATACATTTGTTACTTAAATTTAATTATTTATGTCTTTTAGCACTTTGGGTGTAGATTATTATGTTTATGTCTTCATGTTCCGGACAACAGAACGATTCGGTCATGCAAAATGCACAGTAAAGTAGTCGGATCATCGAGGTTGTTTGGAGGTGCAATTCAACGGATATAATAATTTTTCACGTCTTCGACATAATAATTCGGAGAATGCTCATAGAAAAAATCAAGATTCAACATGTTGAAGGGACAAAGGTTGTGTTCGGGCTCAAGATGGAGGACCTCTATGGTCTTGACACACTGGCAGATGTCCGTCGATGGCTATGTTGAGAGAATATTGGTGTGGTGTGATCTAGCTGTCGTTCAGTTGTTCAGTGTTCCAGATGACATATTGATGTGAGTGGTGCACTTTGCCAAAGGCGACCACTGTGAACGACTAGTGATGATGATGAAATTGTTCAAATTTAATATATTTTATATTAATATTTTTTATCGTAAAGTCCTAGAATGCATATTTGAAAAATTGGATTTATTTTTTGTGCTCCAATTAACACGGACTAATTTTTCGGGCTCGATTTATAGAGGAGTTGAATACAAACCAAAATTTGTTCTTTCTCGTCCGGCTTGTTTTGGCTCTAAATAATTAAATAATAATGTTTATTTATATTAATTTGTATATGCATTAAAAATGTTAAATTTTATTATTTTTTTTAAATTATTTGGTTGGTATAATTATAAAAATATAAGTTTAGGTGTTAGAAATATAAATAAAAAGGATTTAGGATGTAGCATGGATCGTTTTTCTAGCCACTCATTTCTCTCAATAGGGATTTATATATGTAAATAAATAATTGTCATAAGATATTTCCATAAAAGCCCATTTATCCTAATGTGATATAAATGTAAATACATAGAAATTGGGCGGTATGCATGTATTATTGCGTGCGGACACCGCATGCATCTCTGCATGCGGTGTCCGATCCTGGCGGGTCCGCTGCTGGCGGTAGAGCACGGTGATCTACGGCCAGGATTATTTCTGTTTTTTTTATTAAAAAAAAAAATTTAGGTGAGACCCATCGAAATACATCGGGACCGTAGATCAGGGACAGTAGATCAGGTGATCTACGATCCGGATCGGACACCGCAAGCTGCGTGCGGTGCCCGATCCGTATGGAATAATTTTTCCTTATTTTTAGTCCCACGTATGAGAAGTGAGAAGTAGTTTCCACTAGAAATTCTATATAAACAAAAAAATAAAACAAAAATTGTAGTTTTCTCCTTCCCTAAATTAGAAAATAGGAAGAACTCCTTTCATTTTGTTTTAGAAGTATATTAAAATAGAAATTTTATTTTGCAACTTATTAGGAAATGGAAAGAATTCATTCCTTCTTATTTTCAAAATAAACTAAAATAGAAAAACTAGTTTGGAATCAAAGTCTTAAATGAAAAGTCCTGAAATTTTGCGTAGCTCATATTTGAGCTAATACGAACAAATTAGAACTTAAAACCGAACATAAATTCGAACATGAGCTCATTTGGAGCACATAAAATTTCAAATAAGCAGAACACGAACAATTGAGGATCACTCATGTTCGGCTCGTTTACACCCCTATGACAATTATGAAACTAAACTAAAACTAAAATTCAATATATATTGACTATCAAATAGTGTAAAATTAGTCCTCCAACTCTTTAAATGATAGAATTTTAATCACATAATCAATAAAAATGTCAAATTTGTTTTGCTTTCCCATGGGATTATCTCAATTATAGGACTAAAATGGTCCCCTCAAAAGAGTCCAAAGTAACAATTTTTAGACTTTTAAACCATTAATTAATCATACTTCTATGATGCAAACACTTGTTAAAAAGAATTATGCGCATCAAATTGGGCAAAAGTTTTTCACTTTCAAAATTCAAACCATTTAAGGAACTGCGGATTTCCCGCCGCATGCGGTAAGCATACCCGCCACCACCGCCACCACGTCGTGGGAGTAAGCCTGTTGAACGCGTCTCAGGTCGTGGAGCACCACAAGCGAACGAACTCCCCACCGAGAAGAAGACCTGACCGACCCGGTCTGCCCGAACTATCCACCCTTCTTCTTCCTCCCTATAAAATCCCCTCCCCTCTGTTCAAACCTCCGTTCAGGGCCGTTCTGCAACCGAATCCCTGTGAGGAGTTGGAGAGGGACGATAAGGTATCTCCTTTTTCTTCTCTGAAGACGAAGAAGAGATACGTTGAGCCATGGAGGAGGATATGGGAATCGTTGCGCGGCAGGGAAGGCAGCTACAGCGCTACAACAGAAGCGGAGGCCGCCTCGTCGCAGGGTTAGTCTATGGCAATATCTTCTCTGTTTTTCTTTTTCGGCGAATCTTTGATTTTTTAATGAGATTTCAATCGATTTTTTGTGTATGATTTTCACAATTAGTGTTACAGTGGGGGTTTTGGAAGCAAGGAATGGTTGAATTTTGATTTATTTATGTTTATTTGATTTGCAGATGCATTCCTTATAAGTTTGATGCGAACTGTTCGAGTAGTGGTTTGCTTGATTCAATGGAGGTTCTTGTCATCAGTTCGCAGAAGGGAGATGGAATGATGTTTCCTAAGGTACAGCTTGTTCATATACACACTTTACATCATATTTTTCTCTTGTGATGGGAGCAAGACACTGTTTATTTCTGAAATTTTCATTGTGTTTGGATTTCTTGAAATTTCAATGAAACCAAATTTAAAAAGAAAAATGGAAGATTTACATGCATTTTACTCAATTCTTTTGTTTTTTATATATCTCACATTTAAACTTCAATTTCTATTTATGTAACTGCCAGAAAGTTAACAGTTGTATTTTTAATGTGGTAAGAAAGATTTGAGGGGTGTAAATCTAAAAAATTAAATTTTAGGTGTTAGATAAATATGTAAATACATAAGAATTGAGTGCTGCTGCTATAATGTTTAAATCAATGGCTGCGAATTCCTAGCCGACAATATTTGATTTCCTAATTGGGCAGGGTGGTTGGGAAAGCGATGAAACCATAAAACAAGCAGCTTCTCGCGAAGCATTAGAGGAAGCCGGGGTGCAAGGCAATGTGGAGGTTTTTGCATCAAATCATCATTTTCTCATAATATTTCATCTCCTAATCTTTGATTTTCTTCATCAATATTCTCAAAATCCGACCTTTCAATCCCAGAGAAGACTTGGCATGTGGAAATACAGCACCAGATTGCAGACTATAAATGAGGGAGTAATGTTCCCACTGAACGTTACAGAGGAGCTTATCAAGTGGCCTGAGATGGGTGCTAGGAAGCGCAGATGGGTCAGTTCAGATCCTTAAACATTTACTTTATGGAAGATTTATATACATACCATTTAATTCCTACGTATTTATATACCTAACAGAAGCTAAAATTTATTTTTTGCAAATACGCTGCCACCTTGCTTTAGTAGTGTTGATTGAATCTCTGGTCGCTGTTATCAGGTATCTGTGGCAGAAGCGAGAAAAGGATGCACACATCAATGGATGAAAGAGGCTTTGGATAGATTGGTGAGGCGACTTTCAACTTCGATCCGCCGTCGTCGTGTTTGCCGCCGGCAGAAGGCCGTCTCTTCTGAATTATAGGCAGTATAAGAAAGATTTTGTTTTCTTTGTTTACAACAGCTTTCTTCTTAACTTGGATGTGTGTGCATAAATGTAAATTGGTTTGTGGGATCGCATAGAATCTAATTTAATGATGAAATTTAGGGGCATTTACATACATACCATTTAGTTCCTATGTATTTACATTTCTAACGCTTGAAGTTTGCTTTTTGCATGTATACCAATGAGATATTCCATATCATATATAAAAACTAATGTTATTTTGACTTTTAGAAAGTGAATTATGTCTTTCCATGCATAGGTTACCTGTAAAAAATTGAAGTTTGGGTGTTTATGTAAATGTGTAGGTATTGAGTGGCATATATGTAAATCATTCTTAAATTTAATTATTGATGTGTCCACTGTGTTATTATTACTATTTTTTAATTTCAGTTACAATATGAAGTTATGTTTGATATTCTTAGGTGCTATAATGATGATATTAGATTTTGTTTCATTGAGCTATATGAGTAATAAAGATTATGTGATTTATATCATCTCAATTTTATAGGTTAAAAATGCAATTTTTTCTTTCATTATTATTGTTGGAGCACAAATTTCTTAGGTCAATTGTGTGAGTCTTTTTTTCCAATTTTTAAGGGTCTGTTTGGGGCGGCTTGTACGTTTTAGGATAAGCTGTTTATCCTGAAACGCGGCCCACAGGCCGGCCGCAGGGTCGACCCGCGGTCTGCGTTTAGTATAAAAACCCAAACATAGTTTCGGATAAGCTGGCGAAACGCACGAACCAAACGGTACGACAGCGTTTTGAAAACGTCGCCCGCACTTATAAACTATCCCAAACGGACCCTAAGTCTCTCATTAGAGAATTAGAAATTGTTATGGAATTTAAACAAATTGTACTTTAAATATTAAAATTTAGATGTTTAATATGTAAAAATAAGAATTGTGATATATTTATGTAGATCCTCTCTTTTTTTTCTCACTTTTCAATTACGAAGATCCCTCCCCAATTAAAATGAGGTTTAAATTATTTCGACTTAAAGCAAAATGAGCGAAAAAAAAATATTTTTTTTTCTAAAATCCATAAGTTGTAGAGTTTAAAATTACAAAATAATAAGTTTATATGTGTTGTTATAAATCATTCCAGAAAACTAACATTAAATTGACCGTTTCTTTTTAAAATTTTCTATTTTGATATTACATATTTTATTCGATTAGAAATAATCAAATAGAGATAAAATCATACATAATAAGAAAATTGGTGTGCGTCTGACAAATAATGAGTCATATTTGAATAAGACTGATGTATGCTAAAAAAATGTGTCATTCATGGCAGTAGAATAATGAATTATCACTTTAACTACAATCCAACACCGTTACATAATAGTAACTCAATATAAAAAAAAATAATTAGTAAATAAATTATCAGTTTTTTATGTGAAAAATCTTTGAAAAAAAAAAGAAAAAACTATTACATCAGTGAAAAATCTTTGAAAAAAAAAAGAAAAAATTATTACATCAGAACTCCGCACGTAGAATTTCATGCAGAGTCCATTGAAATCACGTAATGTAGAGATACAGAAAATAAAATCACCCGATAACACAGAAAAATATTTCACATGTATTATTCTGTGTTATTAAGATATTATTATATGTTATTCAAGTGTTACTGTATTATGGGAATATTTTCGGTGTTATAAGAACACAATAAAATATCAATAACACTTGAATAACATATAATAACACATGAATAATACTTGAATAACACACAATAACACATGAATAACACATGAATAACAAATAACACTTGAATAAAACAATAACACTAAATAACACGTGAGGAATATTCTTTTGTGTTACGGGGCAAATTTTATTTTTGGCGTGATTTTATTGGACTCCACATGTAACTCTAAGTGCGGAATCTTGATGCAATATTTTCTCAAAACCAAGTGGTTTTAAGTTTTTTAGTGAAATATGCTTGAAGTTTTTAGAATGAAGCTAAAATCTTAATCATATGATATACTGATTTCTGAATAAATTCAATAGCTGGAATCTCTCTCTCTCTCTCTCTGTCTCTCTCTCTGTATATATATCTCTCTCTCTCTCTCTCCCTCTCTCTCTCTCTGTATATATATCCGAACAAAGAAGCCCGAGCAAAAGATGAATCTTGTGCTAAAATGGCACGAATACAAATAAAAATATAATAGCAGCGAAGTCCAGTCCTAAAAGTTTACAAGCACTCGGCTCGGCATTGTACAATATCTGCACCTACTGAAAATAAAACAAAACAAATTAAGAAAAAAAAAGGGGGGAATAGGTGCAGAGAAAGCCCAGTGCTTCCACGAAAATAGGCAAAAACACCCCCCGTAATTCCTGAACTTACAAAATTTGAGCAAGCGGCAATTCTCCGGCAAAATTAAGCAGGGATGAGATGAGTTCTACAAGAGGAGAAGGTTTGATAGGAGAACTCCAATAAATTGAAAGATGGCTTCCCTGCCATAATCCAGGTGAGCATTACTGCTGCTGTCAGCTGAAGAGTTTGTGGAAGGAGCCAAAGATGTGCCATTCCCAAAGGTCCCATTTTTTCCATTGCTACACAAACAAAATATGTGAGAAAAATATGATCCTAATTTGTTCATTAAACAACGTTTTTAAACTTATATCATTATCTAATCTTTAAGAAACTCAATGTCACATAATCTTTTATACAGGAAGGAGTTCATTCTTAATTCAAATAATCATGCCCTCAAAATTCATCAATACATGATGGAATTTTATTCATAGATATGGTTAATGTGTCAATTTCTCCAACATAAAACTTCTGTTCTAAATCATCAAATTTTAAAGTTCAGTGGTCATCAGATAATGTTTTTAAATTTATTAAGATAAGTTGTCAAATTTTAGTAGTAGTATTTATAAGCACATATGTTGATGGATGGAAGTACCTATATGTCATTATATTGTTCATGCTATGAGCAATAAAATGACATTTACGTGAACCCATCTATAAAATGCAAACAAAATAATAATAATCATTTAAAAAAAAATCATCCATAAAATGCCCGAATCCCTTTCGCTAAGGCTAGATAATTGTAAAATTTGGTTTCAATGTTAGATTGTTTAAGGCTTTGTTGTTGTTGTTGTTGTTGTTGTTAGACCGTGTTCTAAATCTAAATAGGATATTAAGAGGATGTTTCTAAGTTAAATAGTAGTTATTTATTTAGAGTAATTAACTAGAGAAAATCGTGTAGTCTATAAATACCAACATTTAGAGAAGATGAGATGAAAAAGAGAAAAATCATAACACATGTAAGAGGGTTTTATGCATGCTCAGCTTTAGCTAACAGGAAAGTAGAGCATTCTGTAATATGCAAAGAAATGATGTTCTAAGATGTAAAGAAAGAAACAGAAAAAAATTTGAACAGAAGGGACATTTACACACATACCACACAATTCCTATTTATTTACATATCTAACACCCTAACACCTAAAGTTTACATATCTAACACCTAAAGTTTACTTTTTACATTTATACCACCTAAATCTTTCATATCACATAAAAAATGCCACTATTTTAACATTTAAAAGTAAAAAACATTTTTCATGCATATGTAAGGTGGCATATATGTAAAAACTGAAGCCTAGGTGTTAGATATGTAAAGAAATAGGAATTAAAAAGATGGGAAAAAATAGCATACCTTCCTGGAAACTTGCAAGTATCGTGACCTGCAAATGGATACAAAAGGAATATTTACTATCGAGGCATTTGGATTATTTTCCAAATATAATGAGCAAGTGTAGACACCATTAACTTTTAGAAATTTGGATTCCGGATTAAGTTATTGGTATCTAATTTATCTAATTTAAATCCATGATGATCAAATAACCTCTCAGCAGATCTGACACATATTTCCACTTATTTACATAGAAATTTCTCAAGAAAATCTATATTTATTAGTGAGAGAACAAAAATAGTATTGCACCTTTTTCTACTCAACAAACTCCAATGCTGGAGACAGATTGGCATAAATCTTCTGAAAATAGGATAAAATTGGAGTAATTGGAATTTTAGTGACAAAAGCAACACCTTATATATACAAAGTTACTTTTTTTTCTTTTCACATGGAATGAAAGCTAAAAACAACTTGCGAGTTAAATTGCCCCTAGAACCAATATGGGAAAGCTAGGACAACGATGATACTTCATGAGTGACAAAACTAATATTTTTGGAGAGGCACAAGACCAAAATCACCCTCCCCATATAGGTAAAAATCTAAATTTGAGGGGTGGGGGGGGGGGGGGGGGGGGGGGGGTGTTGACCTAATGGGTTTGAGTCTGTTTAGGTCTAATTTGGGTTAGATCTAAAGGGTCCGCCTCTACATACCATTTTAAATTATATTCCTGATGCAAACAAATTATTTTAATTATCTTTCAATCAATTTTTTAATCAAGATCATACAAAGTTTCCTATTTTACAATCACAATTAGCCAAATCCCAACTTTTTCATCAGCGATTTAACACCAAACTATTTCTTGCATGTCACAAGCCAACTTAAAATAACCACTCAAACATATTTACCAATGTTATAAATAAGGTATAAACCCACTAAATGGCTCAAAAATCTTACAAAATTTTCAAAAATAAAAATAAAAATTGTATCAAGGAAAAAACAAAGCAAATCTTCAAACAAAGCAACATACCTATCAATCACCAATCATGAAAAACAAAAACATCATGATTATTCCAAGCATCAAAGGACTTACTTGGATCCGTAGTGGTAACAACCGCAACCCCATTGAAATAACAGCTCCCAGCAGTCATCCCCATCTTATGATAATAAGCATTAAATGCATAGCTCGCGTGCTCATTCACTGTATCCGGATCAGAACATGGTTGCCCCTGCTGCAACACCGAGCAGTCCACCTTCCCCTGTCCACACGCCCAATCAAGTGCAGCCTGCAACATCTTCTCATCAGCCCCATCCTTGGCGATACAGTAGGTCTCATTCGTGGTATCATTAGCCAGCACAAGCCCAGATCCAGTCAGGTGCAACGTATACGCCGGCACTCCATCACCATTAAACAACCCCCAAAACTTCTCCGACATGGCCCCCGGCCTTTCATCCTCATCATACAGCTCGTAGATGAAAGTGCTCACTGGAATACCGGGATGCTTCGGCGTACCTGTATTGTTCAGGACATGGCGGATGAGGTTGCTGTTGTAGGTGTTGGCGTTGTCGATTGTAGCATCGGCCTCATTCGCATCACCCTTGTGAGGCCAACCTGATTCCATGACCACAACTGGAAGATTCGTCACGTTGAGATAAGCCATGGCGAAATAAGCAGCATCGACCACAGCATCAAAGACGTTGGTGTAGTGAAGCAGAGTGTTGGCATCTACGGCCTCTTTGTTGGGAGGCAGCGGGCGAAACAAGGCATAATCTAGCGGAACTACACCATTGGATTGCAAGTAGTCGTAGTAAGGATAGACATTGAGCATGAAATAGGAATCGGTGGATTGGAGGAATTTCAGAATGGGACTGAGAATAGGTTCCCATGTGCGATTGAAGAAGGCCTGCGAAGGGGGGAACGAATCGAGTATAATAGAGGAGGAATGGGGAGTGGAGACCTTTATCTGACGATCGAGATTGGCGGCGACGAGTGCGGAGTGCATGAAGCGGAGAGCGGAGAAGAGAACTGGGGCTGCGTGAGGGAGGGAGGTGAGGATCTCAGAGCCAACGGCGACTGAGGTGATGTTGACGGAGGGGAGGTGCGCGATGACGTTGCGGGTGATCCAGTTGGCGGCGGTGGAGTTTGATTGGCCGACGGCGAGGATCTGGTCGTTGGGGACGGAGATGGTGACGCGAATGTTGGAGTTGGAGAGAGCGGCGAGCATGGCGGGATCTGCATCGTAGAGGCGGATATGGTGGATTTGTTGGGATTTGAGCAGCGCCACCACCTGGGTAGGGGATGGCATGGAGGAGAGGGAGGTGCCGATATTCACGCCGATGAAGGCACCTGAGGACACGGATGTAAATATTGAAATTAATATTGTAATTTTAAGGTCATTATTATAAAGTAATTATAAAAAGTGAGCGAAAATGTAACATAAAATAAAGATTTTTTAATTTTTATTTTTTATTTTTTATTTTTTATTTTTATGTTTTGCTAAAAGACAAATTTTAAGCGTCAGGAGCGAATATTTAACATGAATTATTCTAAAATTGGTCGCATGGGACTAGGATGGCCATGAGCGACGGCCCCTTATCGTGAGCCCAGGTGGTCCCGCGGGATATCATATTCGGCCAGCTGGGACGCTACGCAGTTGCGTGGCGTGAGAGAAGGAAGTGACGGAAGTACCCTTTTCGTTTATTGAAACGATAGTGAAAATTTTTATTGAAGTAATTAATTATGGAAGATTTACAGATGGCCCACCCTCATATTTCTTGCAAACTTCCCGAGTACATTTGAGGAGAAATTATTCCTGTGTGATCTCGATCGTCGATCATTTTTTTCACCGTCGATCATCTCAATCAAAATTTAAAAAAAATATATTAAAAATGGACCCTACCGAAATAGAGGATCAACGGTGAAGATCGGACATGAAGTATGGAATTATTTTTCACTTTTGAGAAAGTCTGGCACTGTATGCAGCTAAATTCCCATTCTAACGTCAAAATTCTGTACAATTAAAATAATGACTAATTTGTTAGGATGGTTAAGGCTTATTTTTAAATATTTTCTTGTACATAAAGAATGTGCCAATCAGATGAAATCCAACGGTTTAAGCTGGATAAAAGAGAGGGAGGCCCACTTATTCGATCGGATGCACACGTCTGAGTCAAAACAAGCAAAACCAAATTCGAACAAGTCATGAAAGTTACCGCTCTGAGCCAACCGATTAGAAACATGATAGATGATCAAGCCAACCACTACAAAAAGCTTATTAGAAGCATCGACCTACCATTCGATAGCTCTGATTTGAGGAAAGAATCCAAATCCTCACAATTACTAGTCATCCCACCGATGTCACTTGTTGCTCCTCATAAGACAATAAGATAATTTGCACTCTCTCTCATAGTCCAGTCTCATTTTATCGACAGAAATTCCTCATCTTGGAATGAAGCATCGACCAACCAGGCTAGATCAACCGATCGACAAAACCTAACCGACCAAGTCAGTTCTATCAACCCGAAGACAATCGGGTCCAATCGCCCAGCTGCATCAATTCTGTCAGACTGAAGCAGACCAAGTCCAGCCAACCGACTGCATCGACTCATGCTAGCCGAGCCAACCGATTCCATAGGACTTCCTTATTTAGACTTATATATATATATATATGAAGACAAGAGGCGGTGGCAGAGGGAGGGCAACGACCGACAATGGGTCGTGGCAATGAGTGACAATTTGAGTTCAGATTCCGAGCCAAAATGAACTGAAGAGTGGACTTTAAATTCATTCAAACTTTAAATTGTAATTGTACTTCTTCATATCAAATACATAATTCCCTCGGTCACAAATCCTTCCAACCAAACAGTCCCTTAATTATTGTCTGTCTCTCTCTCTATCCCTCTCTCTTTTCTTTTTTAAGCTCTAACTCTTTCAATGTGATTCACGAATAAATCAGAATTCAAAATTTCTCAAAAACTACTACACAAAAACTCCATATTCTATTTAGTGAGTCAAACTTTAAATCCTTTAATTTATACAAATAAATAAGCCCAAACCAAAGCAGATATTTTTTTTTTACTTGAATATATTTATATCCGAGAATATAGACAGCTGCTCCCCCTACAATGGATCTACTTGGATTATTATTTCCCCTTCCCATAATCCTCTGCAAGCACTCGTCGACAACGTTCGGAATTTATTCTAACAAAAAGACAAAAATACTGACAATCAAATAGTAGGTGGTATAAATATAAAAAGCAAAATTTACATGTTTAACTCTCAAACTTCCAATTTTTGCATACATGCATTCAAAAGATGTGTTTCAGCTGAAGGGCCATATTTTTCAAGTGGGATGTAAGATTTAGACGGTATAAATATAAAAAATAATTTTTTTTACGTTAGAAATGTAAATATATAGAAATTTGGTGGTATGAATGTAAATTCCCCTTGAAGATTTACATGCATACAACTCAATTCATATGTACTTACATACCACACCTAACCATCAATTTTGACATATTTGCCCCCATAAACTAAAAATGTGTTCTTAACTTTTCTTCTTCTTATTATTATTAAATTAAAGTTGTCTTTGGGCAGCTTGTGTGTTTCAGGAGAAGTTTATCCTGAAACGAGACCCATGGGTTGAAAGCAGGGTTCGACTACGTTAGTGTAAAAATGGAACCGTGCAAAACACGTGATTCAAACGGTACTGAGGCGTTTTCAAAAAACGCACCGCACCTATAAGCTGCCAATCATCGACAATTTTGTGGCTATCTGTAAACCTTGGATGGCATTAAGTAAAAATCAAAACTTAGCTATTAGATATGTAAATAGATAAGAATTGGGTGGTATCTATGCCAATGGCACATTCAATGACGCAAAGCTGCTTAATCCTTGACGAAAATTTAAAATCCACATTCAAATCAGCGGCGAGGAGGGAAGACGAACAAAAGTGGGGCCCATCTACTCTCGGGTGCATTTGGGTCAACTGTCCTATGTGAATAAAAAAAATGAAAACCGCAGGACAGCTAATCTCCACTAGCTTCTCATTATCGCCTAATCAGCCGCAAATTAAACCGGAAAACTAACACTAAAACCGGTTTTATCGTCAGCTAAATCAAAGATTAGTGGTGATTAGAGTTGAGTCTCTCCAAGCTGAAGAAATATAGAGGTATCACCGTACCTTCGTCGGCGAAAGCTACTGAGAAAGCTAGCAGAAGCAGCAGAAAAGAAGCCCCCATGGATTCCTTCCTCTCCTCAAAGAGACGCACGCGCCTTTCCCTCTCCGTCTTCCAAGCTGAAGACCTGGTGGAATGGAATGAAGCTGCAGAATACGCTTGCTGAAACCGCCTGAATCCGTTCAAGCCTCACTTCATCGGAAGCAATCGGAAGCAATCGGAAGAAAAATAGAGCGGAAATCGGTGGCTAAACGGCCGAGGAGGGGGAGGGGGAAGAATAAGATAACTCTTAGCCGCCGGAATCCACTCAAATCTCACTTCGTCGGAAGCAATCGGAAGAAAAATAGAGCTGAAATCGGAAGCTAAACAGAACAGGAGGAGAAAGTACAGAACTCTTAGCAGACCTTTACTTATCCCCTTTCCTTTCGCTCTATTTCTTTTGAAGTTGTGCGAGGGCAGGGCAAACAATAAAGCCGACATGGAGATGGGAAAGTTGAGGTTTTATATTTGTTTTGAGGTCCCAGGCGGAGTTGGGAGCCTTGTTCTTTGTCGCGGCACTTTTCTCTGTTGATTCGTAGCCGTCCGTTGACGATCGGATGGTTGCCAATCATCCGGTGAATTACTGTAAGTGCTAAATCGTGTGGCCGTTTGTGTAGCCCGCTACTTTGGATTTCTGCCCTGTTCGACCCGCCCGAGATTCCACGGGCCGCTACAGGGACGGCTACAGATGATTGGGCCGAACGGTCATATTTTCGAACGGAGTTTCTTTTTTTTTTTCTAAAAAAAAAAGTTATTATTTTATTGGAGCACTTTTCTTTTTGGTTTGTTTCGTGAGGTGGGGCTGCGGCTCTGGCGATGAACGTACGGCGCATCAGAGAGCATTGCGGTGCACGACTCACGAGATACAGTATGCGGGAAGCATCCGATCGTCCGTTTTTCTAAGTAATGGTGATGGACGGCTTGATCTGATGCAACGGGCAAATGCTGTGGGGTTGATGTTTCGTCCAATCAAAATCTAGTGGTATCACCTGAATTTGTTCATAGCTGAATTTTTTTTTTTTTTTTGGAGCCCAATTCGAATATTAAATGATCATAATTAATGATAAGTGTATTTAAGTAACGATGATTCAAAATATTAAATATTTTATTTTAATATTTAAATATCAAATATAGCACTTTAGTCACCCAAAATCTTAAAAGATGTTTAAATATGGAAGAAAAAAAACATTATTATTTACAGATTAATCAACTAGGTGATTTTTTTGAACTATAAAATTGATTGGGGCCCGTCAAAAAAACTCGTTGTTCGCGAACAGCTCGTGTTTGGCTTGTTCAGTAGCTCGCATCTTGTGTGTTAATGTGATTAATGTCTTCTTTTGTATATATTTGGTTCAGGTTTGAATCTAATAATTTATATATATATATATTTTTTCAATTTAGTTTTAATTAGTCAATTTCGAACACAAGTTGTTTCGAACGAGCCGAACACGAGCTCAGGCTTGGCTCGTTTACAGCCCTAAAATTGATGCATTTACAGCGTCACAATCAAATCATTGTGAATTTAATAAAAATAAAAAATATGGATTTGAGTTTTATCACGATCTTTGATATTTCAGTGAGAATTTGAAAAATGGATTAATTATGGTGCTTAATTGGTAAATAGCAATCTTTTGGGTCATCTATTTGTAATCATTCCAAACTTTAAATATAATATTTTAACCATAAAAAAATTTCACTCGAAACTTTTATGAGCGAGTAATCGAGAGTAATTGTAATGAAATAAGTTGTTAAAAAATTATATTTAAAGTTTGGGCGGTTTAACTGAAATATTTAATATTTTAAGTAGTTGTTATGGAAAAATCTCTAAACAATATAATTTATTTAACAGATGCATGATAATTATTTCTATCAAATTTGAATAACGAATTAAATTCCGTTCAATTTCGACTTGGTGGTTTATTTTCGAGCTAATTTTCGGTTCGATGGGTCGACTCGAAACTAATATAAAGATTATAACTGATGGGGTTTTGAATTTGGATGCCACACCATAAATTAATGCAGTTATCTCAATCCTAAATATTTTTTTTAATTGAAATATGTAATTTTGATATAGATGGTTTGTTTTCAATTATTATTGATGCCTTATATATTTGTTTGGCCTCTTATGATAGTATCATCAATGGCTTTGATTCTATGAAGAGGCTTTCTAATGTTTCTCATTTAATATTTATAGATGATATTATAGTTTTTTGAAAGATGCTAATGTTATTTCTATTGATTGTTTTGCTCAAAATTTGATTTATTTCAACCATCCTTCTCTTAACTACTCTAAATCAGATATTTGTTTCTCTAGATCTTTTACTGTTAATTTACAACGAGCTGGTGCAGGTTCATTTAGCCCGTGCACCCGAGATCTAGGGCGGGGACGTGGACGAGGAAGAACCAACACAACTGTTGAACGGATGAATTTAACCATCAACATTAATATGAAAGAAATTTCCAATAAAAAATGAAAGGAAAATGAATATTATTAATTTGGAAACTATCATTTTACCCGAGCACAATGTAGGTCTTGATATTCCTTCTTTAGACTTTTAATTGCATGCGCGAGGCCAAAATTATTTGGAGAATTTATAATTTTAAGTAATAATTATTTTTGTTTTATGATCATTGATTTTTTGGTTTTTCCTCATAGTAGATGTTTGGTAATGTTATTTTTATTTGGTTTCATTGCCTTAAAATCATTAAAATTTATGATATCATTTTTATTGGGAATCATGTTTTATCTCATAATTTTAATATCCCTATATATTGTCTTAACTATATTATTCTTATTCATATAATTGAGGAGTTCACTTGTTTTTTGAATTGCATGAAAATTTATCTTATAAGCAATGGAGCGAGTGGGTGTGATTTAAAGGAAATGCTATCAAATATACTTTTAATTATTGTAGAATTTTACGTAGTGATTTTAAAACTGATGATAATTTATTTTAGAAATGCGTTATTGTTAATTTGTGTTGTTGCTTGTGTTACGATGAATTGAAATAATTTGTGTTAATTTGTGTTGTTGCTTGTGTTACGATAATCTTGATTTTTTTTTTTTGCTCGTTCTAATTTTTATCTAATTATTAGTTATTCTGTCAATTTTATTTGTAAGATCACTAAAATGTATTATCTTTTAGTTGTTTAAATTAATTCTTACTATATATGGTATGAAATGAAGAACAAAATTTTGAAGAAGTCTTTCTTTTCTCTAGAAGTGTTTATTCAAAACATTCATTAGCTGGTGAAACATAAAGATAGGAGATGAAAATTTTTAAGAGGGATATGCCTCTTGTTTTTAAAGATCTTTACTAGTTATAATCACTCTCTATCGTTCAATTATTAAAATTATCTTGTTTAATTGTATTTAACATTCCCACTTCTTTCGTAATTTGAGCTTTGATGTTACACTTTTCATCCAATTAGCTCAAACATTTAGTTAATACAATTAGATTTACCTTGTTGTTTTTCCTGTTTTTTTATGAGTTTTTTTTAATTTGAGTATATGTATTATTAGCTCTTTGAATAAAAACAATTCTTGGTTTTTATTCTTAAAGCTCAAGTGTACTTTGTATATATTATAAATTCTTATTGTATACACTGTCGATTGTCTCTTAATTGTTTTGTGTAGGGGTGTTTATTTTTTTTCGAGTTCTTTGCTTCCCTTCTTTTCTTCCATATATATTTATTTTTATATAATGTCACGTACCCTGACCACTTGGTTGACATCTACGGTATAAGACCTCTCAGGTCAGATGTTCAAATCCCTTATGACACAGTTGGCGTTAAGAAGGTACACTCGAATTGTTGACGCATTATAAATGGTTGTAGTCTAGTATAATAGCATCTCACAATACCTTTTAATATATATATATATATATATATA